TTCAGGTTTTCTTGATAGCATTTGCATTTTGTATCTTGTAGGAAACTCTCACTAGTCCCGGGGTGTCCAACCTTTTGGCTTCCTTTGGCAGCATTTAATGAATAGAAAACGTCTTGGGTTGCATGTAAGTATGCTGCTCCAAAAGTAAAGCCTCCTATTTCCATAGAAAAGATAACAGCTACACCAACTGATACAGGAGGAAAAAAAATAAAAACAACACCAAAAAAACCACACAAAAAAACCCCTATGTTTTAACATAGTCATCACCATTAACTATGCATTTTTGCCAGCAATGAACAAGAGCCTGCAAACTGTGATCATAACAATCTGCACCAGTGAATGTGACCCACTATCACCACTACTGAAACACCCACCACCTCACCGTGTTCGCATCCACTCTTTGGTCTCCATAAGCAAGCATTGGCAAATGTCAGTGGGTGCAAATCTTTCCACCTGGAGGAATTCAATGATACATCTTTGCTTCATATGCATTTCCATATCAGACACCATGCTGTCAGATTGCCCCTCTGCTGTCATCTGTAACACAGCAACAACATGTAATGGAATATGGTGGGAAGGTTCAAGCTCTCCTGCTGTACCATCACCACCATCTGCCTCTGATGTCATGGGCCAAATCATGAAATAGGACGCATTACTTTCAGAGCAGCATTTGCAAAATATACAATATCATTAATATGTAAGTAACAAAACATTTCAATTTAAAATGTTTGTCTTAAAATATTAAGAGAAAAAGAGAGATGATCAAAAACATAAAGCTAGTGGGATATGTGACCTTGCTTTTGTGAAACTAACACACAAATCTGAGTTGCTACACTGTGAGCTGTGCTGGGCCTCGTGAGGTCTGCAGATCACGGGTTGGAAATGCCTGTACTAGTCCTTGAGTTGTGTAAGGCATACACATGTAAAAATGTTTTAAGGCAGATGCCCTGATCCAGATTACTAGTGTACTGCTATGGCTACTATAAGGGAAAATTCTTGCATTTCTTCACTTCTCTCTTGCTCTTTTTCACTGCCCTCATGCCTGTTTTATGTTACTTTGGTTCCACTAAAAATTATGGTACAAAGAGCAGCATGTCAAGGAGAAAAACAAATGGTGAAAGGAGAACCTAGCCATAAAAGAAGAACCTTAATGAGGTATTCCTGCTCAACATGTTGTTTTTTGTCCCCTATCATAAAGATATGGTCTCAATGATAGGGGTTCAAGACCGCCTTCTTGATTGCACATGCAAATAAAGCAGATAGAATTAGAAAATTGCATGTTTTAACTGGGACATGGAATTTCTCAGGATAATTTGTTCCCCAGTGAGTTTCACTCTTAATGCTTATCTTCAAGAAGAAATTCAGTCAGCTCTAAGTAAAGCTTTTTAGAGGATACAGGACCAACAGCCTCAGAGAGCAAAATACTTTCTTATTCTACGAAAATGATTCATGCATACATATCCTTTTTTCTTGGAAAGCTGAGTAAGAAAACCATTTAGATAGATGGTCTGGAAAACACAGTGCTTGTCACTATTTTACTGGTCTATGCACTAGTTCTGGCTTGAACTCAGCATGCAGAACCACAGAATATTCATGCAAACTTCTTACTTCTTCAGGACATCTTTTTTTATAGCATGACTGGGATTGAGTGGCAAAATTTTAGTTGTTGCTCTGTTATTGCTAAAGCTGTGGCAGCTGCTGTAAAAAGAGCTTTAGTTTGACATGGCCTCACCACTTTTAGAGGAGATACACCCATCCTCAAGCCATTTCTTCCAAACAGGGAAAGTTCAGCGACATCAAAGAAAAGCAGACAGATCAGAAATACCAAATTCAACGAGGAACCAAGATAATCTTTCCTGGATGATCTGGGCAGACTCAGCATGACATGAGGGGAAGAAGTCCACAATAGATTGTACAATTTGGGCAGAACCTTCTTCTAAAAACAGATCTCTCTGCAAAATAGCTACCAAGTTCTTGGCTGACGCTCAGTCAAAAAAGATCCACTACTAACCAAGTAATCATCACACTAGCAGGCATCACTTACCTGTTGCCATCATTGCTAATACCTGTTTATTGCCAGAATAAGCCTCTGAAGTGTTGGAATTCTCTGTAGATATCTGAAAGAACAAGAACAAGAAACTATGGTTGAAAACTTTCAGAAATGGCTGAGTTCCTCCTTTGCAAAGAATACAAGTCAGAAAAAAATCATGTGGGACTAAAGCTGCTAAATATATTGAATGCTGCTCTTTTCAAAGGACATCGACCCAAAATGTCAGTGGTGCTGAAAAGGGATATCACCAGGAGACATAAATGCTGCATAAATAGTATCTGTTTGCAGCATTTGGTGCAATTCAGTGGAAATAAAATGCTGCTTATATTTAAAAGAGAGTTTGTTCAAGCAAAGCCCTTCCTCTCCTGGGATGAAATGCATTATAGTCTGCTCTTTTATGGCTTAGCTGAATTGAATGTGTGTGTGAAAATCAGCTAAACCATCAGTTGCGGTAATGCAGAAATGACTAATTAGAAAAATACACTGGCACTTAACTGTGGAAAGAATTATATAATATTCTGTCACTGATTGTTATGGTAAGTACGGTACAGAGAAATTCTGTTCTAAAATTTACAGTGCCAACCATAGGTGCATTGCATCCATGGATCAACAGATAATTTTGATCAACAGGTAAAGTCAAATTATTATCCCTTAAGATCTGTCCAACTACAGGGAGAATTTATCTTATAAGTTAACTTATACCTTAGTAGTATAAGAAAGTCTGAGAAATAACACTTTAGAGCTGTTTTTCATTTTGCAGTTTTTGCCATTTATCTTGTTCCACTAAAATGAAATGAGCAAATAATTTCAGTGTCTCCTCTTTTCAACTTTACAGCCAAACTATGGGATAAATTGACCTCAGGAATAAGATTGGTTTTAAAATTTCTCTTTTCATCCACTCCCGCTGCGCACATTCATCCCCACATCTTTAATGCATTTTGCCATTGCCAAAATCATGCTGATTTGGTTTGTTTGGCTGTGCTGTAAACAGAGACATCAATAGGATCCTGCTGGCATATAAAGTTTCTTGCACAAAAATAAATAAATAAATAAATAAAAGAATGGGTAAGAATAAGGGCAAACAGGTAGGAAGATCTTGTAACTCAGAGAGGTTTTTTATCTGTTTCGTAACATGCTTTTAGTACTATTGATGAGTAAGAGCAAACTGTAGAAAAAGGGAAACTGAAGGTCAAGGGCTGTGAACTTTCAAACTAGTCTTCATCGAACCTGCCTTTCCTGCAGCAATAAACAAATAAGCAAGCAAGTAAAAATCTTGCACCAAATATTTATCTACAATTGATTTTCTTGCTCCTGAAAAGCACAAGTCACAGTTTGACTAAGCACAGCAGTGCCTATAGAAATGAAGACCCATGCAACCTATCAATATAAATCAGCTTAGGCTGCCAACAAACAAAAAAAGAGTGTTTGTTGACAGCCTAAACTGATATATACTAAATATATGCAGAATTTGAACTTAATCAGTTGTGGCTGATGTGCTGAGCTTTGAGAAGATCTGCTGCTCCCTTGGCTTGTGCTGCTGATGGAAAATCACTTGCCATTATGGCACGTGTTCTCAACTGTACACAAACTGCACATATAACAGTCAAATGAGAAGCAAACACATTTTGGATTTATAACTATTTTTCCTTAGCAATATCACACCAATTGACATATCAATAGATTTGTATTAACAACTTAAATTACATTGCGTGCACATAAGTAGTGTATTGTTACCATAGTTTTAAAGTTATAGCTGTTGTAATATCCAGGTACCTGCATCTTCACCACTCTTCAAAATGATACCAGCCCAGCTTCTGGCAAACTGTTCCAAATGAGAGCAAAGTAACACCAGCCTTGTGTATCTCTTCTCATGACTTACAGGTAAAAATTATAGCAAGTATGCCCATGCTACCTTGCTTTTCCCAAGCTATGAATTCTGCTTTTAGAAATCTTTTACTCTCTTATTCTTAGGATATATCATTTCTGACAGTCGATGTTGTTTAAGAGACAGATTTAAAGTAATGTACACACTGGCAGCGATTGTGAGTTTTAATGCAGTACTTATACTACCCATAATTGAATCTCATCTCATTGGAAAGCTGCTTATTTTATTTTTACCCATTTGCAATTTGTGAGAGATACAATCCATTGGGAACTCACAGTCATGATAGGGGATGAAAATTTTACTCTCAGTTTTAGATTTTCTTTGTCACTTTTCACTGCAATAAGAATTTTTTTTTTTTAATCACATATTTGACAGAGACATGATCTATAATTCATATAACACCTCCATCTCATTTTTTCTAATTCTGGTTTTTGTTCTCATAATTTCTGCTAAAGGATTTTTCTCCTGGGCTGTACAAAAAATGCATGACACCATAAGCATTGCTCCAATAGCAAGGGCAATTGAATGAACAGGACTTTCTGGTTGTTTTTGCTGTGAATGTCTTGGTTAACTATAGGCAAAGAAAAAACTACACAGCGTGAACAATTAATAAGTACACAAAGTACACAAGTGTGTTTATTACATTTTTGCAAGCACTTTGTTCTACATTTCAAAAACGCCACCATCAAGCTGTTGGCACATTTATGTACAAAACAGATTAATTGTAATGCCTGCTACAAAGCATTCTTTGTGAAAATACAAACTCTAATACCAGAGAAGAGCCAAAAGCATTAACATCATTACATGAGTTTAAAAGACATAGTTTTAAAAATCAGCACAAACGTTTTAAGACACAAAACTGAAACACTACAATATAGAATCCAAAAGAGGTTCCTAATACTTTTTGCAGAACTGTAATACTGGTACTGCACATTATGAGAAAACTGTTGACCCTGTAGGACAGCCTAAGTGTAAAAAAAAAAAAAAAAAAAAAAAAAGAAAAATTTTTTTTTTTTTTTTAAAAAAGAAAACAAAACAAAAATTAAACCAAAACTCCAAATCAAAACCACAACCAAAAATCCCCAAAACAAGCAAAAGAAAAATAATCAATCAACTAATACTACCTAATGCATTATCATGCCACACAAATAACTATAGTAATACCCTCTACTTACTACAAGAATTGTTAAAAATTACTGATGATGCATGACTAGTAATAGTACAAAGAAGAGTTTTACTCAAGAAGTTTTATTAGAAATGCACTTACACTGAGAGAGAATTCACAATGGTCCAATAAGTGCACAAACTACCTAAGTTTTTAACACTGACAAAAATGTCTTGTCAGGCTACATCACTTTAAAAGACACTTTACAGCATTCTTGTAGCATTAGAAATAGGCAAAAAAAAAATTAATTAATTAAAAAAAATCCATCAAATTTGGTCTGATAAAACTGACTTAGTTTAAGTAGGGCTTTTTGTTTGGTTGGTTGCTTGCTTGCTTTTGTTTTTGATACAGGAAATTCTTTCAAATTAAGATGACTTATCTTTCTGATAAAATTTTCCTATCAAAATAAATGTTCAAATATATTACTACACTTTAAAATAATAAGCTCTGTAGTGGTCTTTCACCCAACTTTAACGTAATACAGGTAAACCAATATGAGTAGGAAAGCTAGAAGCCAAGCTACAACATTTATGGAAGTCTCCTTTAATATATCTTGTACAGTTCAGACAGGTGCAATCCATTTAAATTTTTAAAGCAGGTAAAAAGACTTCTGATTCCTACGATCACTGTATTTTTGATATATTACTTTCATAAATGTAGCTAAGCAGTAATTTCTCACATCATCACATGAACAACTCCAATTTAGCATAACCATCATTGAATTAAAGAGAGATCATTCTGTAAAAAACTATGGATAACTATATCACTTAAGTAACAATTGTCTATATACCATAACTCTTTAACAGGTAACCGTGGTATTGAACTCCTTCAAAAGGCAAGTGTCCATGCATTGTTAGCACCACGGTCGGCATGCTCACAATACAAACAGGAATTATCACCCATGGAACTTGGAACAAGAGAATATTCTTTAAAAACATCAATAATAATACAATGTTAACAAAGATAAGAAGCACTTTTTTCTTTTTTTTTTCTTTTTTCTTTTTTCTTTTTTTTTTTTCCCACTTTTTTTTTTTTTTACCCACTATTACAAATTTAGAAATTGCACCTTTGATCGTTTAAAATGTTCTCAGGACCTTCGTTCAAGTTGACGAGAGTCCGTCTGGCAAGATTTCCAAATATAAAGGAAAGTCATCAGTGTTTTCTTTATATATTGTACATCATGTACAATGGTCCCTTTGAAGTATACCTGTAGTTAAAGTAGTTATTGAACTCAAAACTAAAAAGTATAAAAAGCTACCTTTTTTTCAAAAACATATAAGAAACAATGCAAAAGGTGTTATGCATAACACATACAAAGTGATTAAAAAAAGCAAACACATTTGTATTTGACAATAGTTTAGTATCTTTCATCTAGCGGAACTAATTAGCTGAATAGGATTCAGGAGAGGCTATATAGGAGCTCTGTGGTGGAGAACGATCACAAAAAGTAAAAACTAATTTAGAAACCAAGTGCTAGACAACCAAGAATTGCACATGGGTGATATGTAAGTCACCCAAACTATCTTTTGTGAGAAGCACTTTCAATTGTTTTTGAAATGGTTGGATGGCCTTGAGTTAAATGACAAAGCATTCACGTGTTAGAAAGTAAAACAAGGTTTCTTTTATGTGTAAGCGTTGAGCCGCTCTTTAGAGCGAGTGGAATGAATGTCATGAAGCTCTTGCTCCTCCTTTGACTTAATATCCTCATATTTTTGCATTCTGCAGGCATCTTTCACATAGGCCCAGTTGGCAGACAAGACCATGAGATAATGGACCTGTAAGAGAAGTAACATGCAGTTAAGCATCAACAGACCTAATCAAATTCATGTTCAAACTTCAGAAATTACAGGGCTGAGTTTGTTGTCAATTGTGTTACTCTTGAACACTTACTGGTCATCATTTAATATACAGGAAAAAGAAATCAAAGTAAATCAATCCAAAAGCTGGCACCATGAGTAGCATCCAGGTCTGGGATTACTAGATCAAATGAGAGATGATGATACCCAATTTCCACAATCTCCATTCAGATTAATTGAATGCCTTACCTTTTTTTTTATTTTATTTGTTTATTTATTTCTTCCCCCACTATAAAATTCTTGACAAAATTCGAAGAATGTGACTGGAAGTTCTAATCATTTTGTCATCTCAAACAATTAGACCATTGCTATTCTTTGGACAGTATGATTTCAGTTGAAAAATGTAATTTGAACCTCTCAAAAATTATACCTGAGCAGGTAGACAGATGAGAATCCTACAGGCAGAGAGTATCTGAGTGTTCTTACAACTTCCTTTTTAAATCCACCAGCCAGAAAACCTCACTGCTGAAGATCATGTGATGAAAATGGGACCATGTAGGCCCTGATTTCTTGACACAAAGTATTTGGTTAACATTGCACAATGATGCTAGAGCCTTGCATTTTCAGGTGGCATTTTACTTGGCTTTTAAAAAGTACAAAAAGCCAGACGAACTACTCTTAAGATACATTGTGCACAGTTGGGCATTCATTTAACTCCAATTTTTCTCTCTTCTCTCTCTAAAAAAGTTACAGAACCAAAGTTCTGGCATAGCTGTTGAAATCTCTTGCATGTCCACTCACTGTAAGTAGGTTGACTTTCCTGGAATAACTACTAATAACTACTACATCTAAAAAGAAAAAAAAATCTCAAATAAATGTTTATGCTACATAATTACATATTGGTTAAAGAATCCACCACCTCTGTTTTTTTGTTTTGTTTTGTTTTTGTTTTTGTTTTTGTTTTTGTTTTTTTAATTTCACACCAAGTTCCCAGATAACGTTGACACAGGGAGGAGGTCATCTTTAAGTGGCTGTCTAATTGCATTTCACACTTCCCTGACCCGAATAGCCTGAAGCCAATGGGGCCCTGTCAAGGCTTATTCAAATTGAAATAGGGCAGCTTCCTCAGTTTGCCTCGGGACGTTTCAATTACAGGCATATGCAAGATAGTACAGGGTCCTTCCGTCGTCTATGAAACATTCTTGCTTAATTTTCTTCCGAAGAAGAAAGTACATTTTGACCTTTCAGATCTGTAGAATTTGGAACGGATTTTTTTTGTTTGTTTTGTTTTTTTTTTTCTTTCCCTCTGGGACATTCCACGATCTCAGCAGGGTAGAAGTCTGAAGAACTTGCTTTTCTCCTCTTACCTGCATCTAACATCCTTCAAAAGAACACAATTCTATTTGGCTACAGGAACGAGCCTGCTTACGTATTTCCCTGACTCTTGTTTGACGTTTTCCTTCTCTATAAGTTTTCCCTGCCATGTAATCCTGAGAGTATATGAGTTTTTCTATGCTCCAACACTAATTTACATACTTTTTGATTCCCAGAGTGCATTTCCTTTTGGAGACTAAACAGGCAGCTAATTAATTGAAAATAATAATAATAATAATAATAATAATAATAATAATAATAATAATAAAATCCATGTACAAACAAAATAATAAAAAAAAACATCTATGTACAAACCTGAGACCAAAAGAGAGATTAAAGTAATAGCTATGGAAAAAACATGACTTGTGACCACATGGTTTTGCAAATTCTAACAATTTTTTGCTTGTTTTTGCAATAAATGCTTACATTTCTCTACTACATATATGTTTTTAATCCAGATTAATGAAAAATAACTTACTCACAGATGGTCCTGACATGTACAAGCAAACTACTTTCTCTGGAAAATTTCACAACACTTATATCAACTAATTTGGGTCTTGCAAGTGTATCTCCAGAAGTGATGAAGTGAAACATATCAATGGAATGATCAAAATGTCATTTAAAAGAGGTGATTTTAACCATTTCAGTTGTTCAATTGAAAACAACTTCATGGATAAAATAGCGTTATTGCTGAATGGTAAAAATACAAAATGCTTACTACTTCAGTCAGATGAACTACTCTGTTTTAAAGTAAATGTCTAATAAATGTTTTCAACTTGCAATGAATTCATAAGCTTTCTCCTTTGTAAAAGACTAATATTTTGATCTCATTTTTCTGTTAAGAAGAACTAAATTTCACAAATGTAGAGTTTTGCTACTACTATGGATTCGTACAAAGACACTAGAGTAACTTCAACTTAGCATTGTTCTGATTCTTTTTGCACACATGAAGAAGGATGTTGATTCTCCAGTGACTTAAATTACCCCTATGCAACATTTTTGATACCCTAGCCCACTGTCAACACCTTCTGATTTGGAGCACAGGATCTTTCTTCGTACTGATGAGGCATTTCGACAGAAAGTACAGACAGTACAAAACCTCCTTTTTGTGGTTTAGCATCTAAGCATCAAACAGCTGGTCAGTCGCACCCCAGAGATGGTTGGGGAGAGAAATGAAGGAAAAAAAAGAAAAAAAGAAACTCATGTGCTCAGATAAAGGCAGTTTAAAAAGAGAAAAGAAAAAAAAAAAAAGGCAAAAAAAAAAAAAAAAAAAGCTAAAAAAAGAAGAAAAGCTCAGTCCTCCTGCCCAGCTCCTCCAATGTTATTGTTTTACATGACACCATATGGGGTCAGCTGGTTCTGCCCCCTCCCAGTTCCTTGCATATCTCCAGTTCCCCACGGGCAGGCCAGTATGAGAAGCTGAAATGTCCTTGCCTCAGTACAACCACTGCTCTGCAACAATAGAATCACAAAAGTGATTCTAAGAGAGCAAACAAACAAACAAAAAAACAAAGTATGGCTGTAGAATTCAGTGACAAAATACTAACTGCAATTGTGAAGCACACACCATCACTAAAAATTCTCAGAGGTAAAAATTCTCATCAGTATCAAGTAATAGTCATTTTTCATTCTCTATACCAATTTTTATCAGGGTTTCAGTAGAGTACATCAGTACAGGGAATACAGTACAGAATCCCCACTCTAAAAATATCTTGATATTTGGACAGACACTGCAGGCAAAAGGCAGAAAAGCAGGGCACTGTCTCACACACTTTTTATTCCTTGGAACATTCTCACTGGCAAAAATCGCAAGTAATCTTTATTATAAAAGTAAAAATAAGTACAAAAGTATAAAAATATGTCCTAAAAGAGAAACTAAAATATTCACATATATGCACAGAGCAGACAAATAGATGTAGTTCATAAGATAGCAGCATCGTAAGCCTGTGAATATCCAGAAAGGCATTGATCATAAATGGATTTGGGTCACAAGAAAGACACACAGATTCTTACACTTGTCTGAATATAGCAATAAAATGATAAAAATTCCTATTAGGTACCCAAAGGTGTATCTTATTCAAAGTAATCATGACACTCTACTTAGAAGGTAATCCAGCAATAAAATTTAAATTTACGTATAGGTAGTAGTATTGAATTACAGAATTATATTATACCAATAGGCACACAAACTGAATAAGTAACAATCAGAACGTATTAGTGATTTAAGTGACAAAAATAGAATAGAATAAAATAGAATAAAATAAAATAAAATGGTGTGCAGCTTACCATAGCAATGACTGCTGCTCCTGCTCCAGCGAGTGCCACAATGAACAAGTGGAATGTCATGTTTAGCTGCAAAAAGGGACAAAGAAAGGGATCTTTATGCATTTAATGCTAAATGGAAACAGAACAAAAAGCCTAAATAATGCAGAACAAAAGACTGCAAACCTGGTACCACTGTTCTACAAAACTGGTGATTACTAATACTTCTTACCAAAAGATTGAAATTACAACGTGACTTTGTTACAATACTCATATTAAGGACAAAATAAATAAATAAATAAAAACAAATATTTAAAAATTAACAGGACTCAAAAAATAGTTTACATTTGCAGTGATACAATATGATAGTCATTATGATACTACCTAACTAGCTTTTCAAAACTTTAGTTTCTCTAGTGGCAGAGAGAGCCTAAGAATTTGTTTCCCTCTGCCAGCTGTAGCTTTTCATATACTCATTTGCAGATTTTCCTCCAAATTTTGCCAATAAAATTTGTTTACAGTGATATAATATAAACAAACTTAAATAATCCAAATTATCTTCCCCACTCTATCCCAAACTAAATGACTGCATCTGTTTTTCAGATCAGTGATCTGGTTTACACTCACCATACTGACTGTACAGCAAAGGTTGCATTTTCTTAAATGCTTTTTTATATAAAGAAGGGTGATTGTGTAACTGCATTCTAGAAGATTTATGCAGAGTAAGACCATGTGATACACTTAATGAAGCACCCTCTGACTTCAGATTGATCAAGATTTTATTCTCTTATAGTTTTAGATATACATTTTGTTTGCCCCGTTTTCTGCCTTTATCATTTAAAAACAGAACCAAAGATCTTAGTTGTACTGAAGTTGTGGTCTTTGCCTGAGAAAAAAATAAAAAGAGGTGCATTTATCCTAACCCGCTGCAAAATTTGGTCTAATCCATTTGAAAACATTATTCTGTCACAACAGCAACTGAGATCTTCAAACAGTAATTATATATATAGTCTTCTTCATTGTGCAGCAAGGTGCATTAGCGTTCAAAAACACGTGCACCTTGTTTATTTCTTAACAAAAACAAAATACAAGTATGCTTAAAAAAATAATGGCCAGAGAAGATGCAGTGGCTAAATGCAGTATTGGTAAAAAAGCAGGAAAAGTACTTGATTATTGTATTTTCCACTTTCCACACCATTTTATCATTCTAGCTAAAATCAGAACATAAAGAGTAAGAAGAAAAAACACACACACCAGTTACTCATGGATTTGACAAAATATCATCACATTTACTCACCTCATTCGAGTCGCACATCTTGATGAAACTTTCTGATGTGGTACAAACCTTCTTTTCCTCTCCAATTGTTACAATACCTAGAGCAGAAAAAATATTCACACTATTTAGTTCTCCTAGTCCATAGCAGTCTACTTCATGTGTGCCAGGAAAGCTAAGAAATACCAATTTTTGCCTCCTACATAGAAATCTAGTTAATAACAAAATCATTTTTTCCTAATTTCAGTCCTCAAAAAACCAAACACATCATCTTAGTAAAAATTCTACTAGGAAGCACGTGGGCAATGATTTTTGTGCCATTAAAAAAAAAAGTCTTTATTCTACATCTTAATCAGCACAATAATTGAAACATTAGGAAATAATTTGCAACCAGTGTGTACACATATCATGCTGGATATTCATAAATATTCTCTACCCTCATGTTGAGAACTGTGCTGTATATTGTATTCAGATGTGTTGACCTGGTGGTACAAAGCTTCTTCCGAAACTTATAACCAAGTATTACTCAAACACATATTTGATTGTAATAATAGTTTCTATCAGCAAGAATAACCAGAATTTATGCTGCTTGCTTCAGCTAATGTTGAAGTCTAAACTAAATCAAAGACAGCTTGAAGAAAATCCCTATAAATCATTTATCATGAAAACCAGTAATGTTCTTTCTTATTAGAAACAAATAGTTTTAAAACAGAATTTATAGGAAACAGATATATTCACAGAATATACATTTTACATGCTAGTGCTGTATGCAGATTTTAAATAAAAATAAGAATAAAAAATAAGTATGAACAAAATAAATATGAGCAAAAGAAAAGCTAAGATAAAGAAGAATGAATACTTTGGTGAGATCTGTACAGATAACTGTCTTTTCAACTCGCCTATCATGCTGGGGGGGGGAATTTTTTTTTTTTTTAAATAGATCACCCCTGAAAACAATAAGGTGAAGTATTTTGTTTCAGGTTAAGTTAAATATTCAATATATTCACTCCTATGCAGTGCAGCATTTTTTCTATCTTAAGACATCAATTAAAAACGCACCACATGTTTATATTTGGCTAAAGAGACAAAGGAATGAGACTCACAGAAGTGTCCAAGAGGAATAAGATTACCCAAGGCTCTGCGGGCTGAGAAACCACAGAGTGCAGAGTATCTAGTCTCAAATCAGTCTTATGAAAGAAAGGAATCAATATCAAATCCAAGAATTCTCAGACTTCTATAAAATTCCAAACCACTTTATGTCTAAATTCTCCACCCTTCAAAAAACAAAAATATTTCCACATTTTTTAAAACTCCACAGCTCATCCTGTAGCCCCAGATTCTTTCTCCAGAAGCCTCTTAGAAAGTTCCTATTTGTATTGCTCTTCACCTTCACCAGGCCTAATAATGCAGCAAATCTCTGATAAACTGCCTTGACTTGTAGGTAATAGCATAGAGACAGGTTTGGTTTTCTTTTTTGAAACATTGGTTGGAAACATTCAGATACTTGGAAACAAAGCAACATGATATTTTCTATTGTGAAACCTTGCTGTATTTAGTATTCCTCACTCACATACCATACTGACGAAGATCCAAGCAGAGATTAGTTCCATCCACTAAGGTGGCATTTCGGCAAATGGTCCACAGATTGAAGTACATGTAAACAGGCAGAGAAGTGAAGGCTGTAACTCCAAGCCAAGCCAACATAAAGATGTATGTCAGCATAATAAACTGTAGTAAAAGAGGGAAAAACAAGTAAGTCAGAATTTAACTGATACTCAAACGCAAGAAAAAGAGAATGAGAAGAGAGAGGGAGAGAGAGAAAGAGGATTTCTGATTGTTTTTGTCTCTTTCTTTGTTAGTATTATGGTTTTGGTCTCATTAGAAAAACAGAGCAGTTACACTTTCAGAAATGCAAGCTTACTCCACACATTTCTGTCACTCTTGGGTCTGTGATCGTTGCAAAGCATCCCACCTGAAGTACTGACAGAGCTGCACACTTTTAGAAGAATATCTCTACCTATCTCTAATCTTTAGTTAAAACAAGAGGCAACAGTAACTGGTTTTACTACTATTGTTCACAGTAATACATATATAGTGTAATACTATATTATGCTGTACTTGCTTTTGCTATTAAAATCCAGGTCTTAAAAAAAAACCTAATCCGTAGCTACTGCAAAATTTCACTGGTATTGAATGAGACCATCTATCTGTCATTTTGTTATTACATTTAAAGAAACCTGAGATCAAAAGAAATACAAGGGAATTCATCACTGTGGACAAACTAGGGTGCTTACCTCTGTTAGCAAGGAATTAAACTACATGTTTTGTAACACATTTCCCAAAGGGTCAACACATTTCCTTTTTTAGCCCTGAGCCTCGAGAGTGTGGCATTTGTTACTTGTATAGCAATACACCTGTAGGAAGCATTGAACTCTATTTGCCTCCAGGGCTGGTAGTTATACTGGCACAAAGCATAAATATAAAATAAATAAATAAATAAGCATTCCACCTCAGACAACAAGAAGACATTCATCAGTAAACTTTTCATTTTATGCCGTGGAAAGGATATGAAGATGCTACCCTGCTAAATGTGGAAGAAAGTCAACCTCTAAATGTTGAATCCAAACAGTCTCAAGATTTGATGGTTTCAGAAAGGTTGATGGATCTAAACACACTGCTGAAACAAAAAAATATTCAGCACACTGACATTTTTTGAGCTGCTTACCACAGCAAAAAAAAAAAAAAAAAAAAAAAAAAAAAAACAACCAAAAACAAAACAAAAAAAACCAAAAAAGTCCAACAACATGGAATCTGAGAATAAAAAATAAGACCTATTTTTGAAAGCAGAATAAGCTAGTCCACAGAGTGCTTAAAATTAAACATTAGAGAGTAAATAAAGTGAAAATTTAATTTTCTAGTTATTCTAATGAAAGATCTCATATATGAGGTCATAAAGGAAAAAGCCTAATAAAAATACAATTTTTAGTTCTTGAAATCAAATAATATCAGATATAAAGGGTTGTAAACGGTACTGAAAATTGCTCCAGGCATAGCTTGTCCACATGTACCTGTTCAGGAAAAATAAGCCCAAGCAGAAACTAGCTTTGAATTTCAGGTGAGATAGTTTTATTACTTTGCTGGTATAGGATGGACATTCTCAAGCCATATTAAAGAGACTGTAATTTGATTTACCTTAACTTACTTCCAAATAATATTTAATAAAAGCCATTTTGCTTCTGAGCAAGTGTATTTACATAAGATTTAATGTAGCTTAATTAATCCAGTTTAAAATTTAAGTCAGATTGATTTTCCCGATTGTCCCTTGGTAGATGAGTCTTTCAGCAGTATTTTGAAAAGCTGGAGAATTTATAGCTCTAAAAATAATTATCAGAAGGATTCAAGAAACAATAAGGTAAAGTGGAACAATGAAGAGAAACATTTTTTCTTTGTTCCATCTTACAGTCTTAAAGCTGATGAGGCAACATCTGTTTGAACCTTGGGCATTTATTTACAAATAACTACTCAGAAAATTACTTGGAAATGTAGACTCACTTAAGGACTATGAATTCCCAATTAACATGCTATGTCTGATCCTCATTTATTATCATGCTAAAGAGTTACATGCAGAAACAACCAATAGGAAAGAATGTTCTCTGTGTGTTCTCAGAACAGCCTTAAAAGTCTCCCTTTACTATTTTATATTCTATAGATCACTGTTTTTTTGAAGCATGTTAAAGGAAGGACAGCTTCCTTAGTATATATCCTATGAGTGTGCCAAACACAGCTATATCTGCAGCCATACTTTTTGAGCCTCCTTCCATACCTTATGAACTAATCAGCATTTTAAACATTTAGCATAGTGCTCAGTGTAGTACTGCATAATAATATGACAGAGAGGACAGGGAGGAAAAAGATCAGCCTTAGTATGAGCATTACAATCTTTGTTTAGTATTTGTGAATTTTTTGATCTGTAGGAGGAGTGGATCTCTCTGTAGCATAGAACAGGAAGCCTGCTTAAAAATCTGTGCTGAGATAACACAAAGCATCGGCATAGCAAAGAGGAAAAAGCAGAGCTCGTTAGCCTCTAATGAAAAAAAAAAAAACCCACAAAAAACAGCCTGCCTCTGCCTGGGGCACAGAATAAGAGCAGCAGAATTCTGTTAGATGAAGGCTGGGAGTCATAGGAGCTATTAACTCAGAGAGAAACGTCCGCTTGTTTGTGGAAGGGATTCTCTTTTGAAGACATGATTACTTGTTTTAGTGGCGCAGAAAAAGGGAATCAAATGCTGATTTAATTTTAAGAAATAATTTAGGAAAAAGAAGAATTTCTTTTTTTTTTCCTGCCAGCTTTGACTGAGGAGCCAGTGGTCAATTATGTGCTCAAATTTTTGTCATAATACACTAAGCACAAGGAAAAGATAGATAAATTTCCTTCATCTCACAGAATAACTGAAATGCAAAAAAATCATGTTAAATCATGGTAATTAACAGTTATCCCTGGAAGATGCCATCACTGACATCTGTGAGGCAAGCTTTGTAATCTGGACATTACAACAATTTCCACCCTAGGGGCAGTAAAAACCAAAAAAGTTAACCTTGCTCAACAAATTATTAGTTTCTGGCAAAAGGAAATGTTACAAATTCCTTTTATTATGGGGTGAAAATGCAAACATATTTGTTTGAAAACCATAGATGAAGGACTAAAGTATTTTTAAAAATAACTTCCTATGCTATGACAATCTACCCTCTGCTGCAGACGGCTTGTAAGAAATGCTTAAGGAGCCTGTTCACTGCAGGAATTAAATTCAGAACTTAGTCTCCAGAGATTCAAAGGGATCATTCTGCTTTGAAGTAGCATTCTGCTATATGACAAGCCAAAGATTTATGAAATAGCAGTACAACATCTTAAAGAGGTACCACAGTTTGTTCTTTACTACTCTGTGCATTGTATTTATAGTGATGATGTGGTTCTCTGGTCATCTCAATTGTCTCTGTAAGAAGGCAAACATACAAAACAAAGTGGAAGTGATGGAGAAATTCATTTAACTAGATCATAGTTTCGAAACAGATATTTAATCTATGTAGCAGTTAAGTTCTTGCACCAAGTTCTTGCTCTGTGACTGGTAATACCTTCGGGCCAGATTTTACAAGCTTTTCATTGGCAACAAGGGCTGTCTTGAATCATGATGCATCAAAGTAATCAAGCCACCAACCCTTTTGGAAGGCTTTTATGATAAAATCTGTTTCGCAGATCAGCATCAGGAAGCAGAAATTTCACTGTACATTCTAAAATAACACCTATATGGCAGAACAGCTTTTATGGCAGTCACAGCTGGGTAAAATCCTGTTTCCATTGAAAACATTACCAAACTCTATCTGTTTTAATAAGATCAAGATTTCAATTACTGCTTTCTTTTTAAAACATATGGATACTGGTCCCATGAAAAGCACTTTGATTGACTCTCTAATAATGTTCTTATTTTAGTTTTGTTATAAATATTTTAATACTCTTAAAACAACATTTTATGACTACTTCAGTCACCGTGGAGACAGACTGCAAAGTCATGTTTAAAAGTTCTGTTACTACAAAGAGACGAATTGAAATGGAAATAGTGAACTCCAACTGTTACTCTAGTCATTTTATTGCATGAAGAAATTTCTGCTACCTATTACATATATACAAATATAGCAGTAAAATCAGAAGTGCCTGAAAATATACTTAACTCTTAAAAAGCTCATGGTGCCATGTAATCTCATCTGTTTGAAAGCACTCATATTCTTGTTTTATATGAACTCCCTGACATAAAGCTTTACCACAGAGTTAGGAAAAGAAGTACACTTCGCACTGTTTATACCTAATTTACACTTATTATCTACTGTGACACATACTTAATATTTTTTATTTTCAGCTTGGCAATCTAAGGCATTCCTTCCAAACTTCTTCCCAGACCCAGAAATTATCATCGCAGTTTTTGGTGGCAACTCAGAAGGATGAACAGGAAGATTTCAACTTCTTCCTAAAATGTTCTGTCTCTACAACACCACATTTGAATTTGACTACCTATAGATCTTATTTCAATGCTAATATAACCTCACCGTACAGATATCTTTAAACTCACAGATATATCAATGCTTAAGTGGTTGCAAATCATCCTTTGTCATCCTAGCCATCCTCATTTTCTCTTTTTACACCCAGTTTGAAATATAAATATAATAAAAGAAGGACATTTAAGTAGATCACAACCTAAGGGACTCCTCTTACATTCTTTGATCTGTTCTAACTAGCATCTCCTACGTTCATGCCTCATGCCCCACTCCTGGACAGAAGTACATGATGAAACATACATTTTTCAACCTCTCTTGTTTTACAAACAACACTGCTGGAAGAAAGAGCCTGATGTTCATACATTACTACTAAATTTGCTACAAATCAAAGGAAATACACACTTGTAAAGACTTTTCTGCTTGGTCTAGAATATTGCACTCACTACTCCTAGCACTAACTTGTTGGTCTTTATTATTGCCTCTACAAAACATGTTCATCCTCTCTCTCTCTGACATGTTATATGCCTAGGCACAGCTCCAAGACTCTTGCTGAAACATGGATACATTTCATGCTATGTTATTACTGTTCTGTGGTTAATTCTTCTTGGCTGGCATTCAAATCAGCTGCTTCAAGAGAAAAAGAAAGCCAATAATATTACAATATTGGTCCAAATTTCTCTTAATAGCAGGACAGACTCTGACAGTCAAAATAACTTCTCAAGTTTGCCTAATTGCGATTCATTTACACACTAAATACTAGCCAAGGAGACATTCTCTAGATTCTTAAAAACTGTTAATGATGAAATCCTTGAAATTTAAACTTTTGAAGCATTCTTTTTAAGGAACTGATTTTTTTTTTTTTTCTAATTTTTTTTTTTCTAACATTTAACTTTTACGGATAGTTTAAATGGATGAAAAACTCATCTTGTTAAAATTAAAAGCAATGATTATCATTACTGTTCTCTTTTCATTTAAATGTATATTTTTCTAAAATTCCTTTAGATGTGCCTTTCAAGGCTGATATTCTATATGTGATATCTGACAAACTGAAATATAATTAGCAGCCTATAAAACAACTGTTTAACTTTCTGATTTACTGTGAAATTAATTTATTGGCAGCGGTAGGGGAGAAGATTTTCACAGCTGCATTACAAATACATTATAAAGATTAATTAATCAATATTTTGAAATTAAATAGAAAAAATTTTAAAAAAGAAAAATTGATATTTTGAAATCCACTAGCTATGAGCCACTCAGTTTGAAGAATACATCTTTATAATGACAGATGAATAGGTTTTCCCTGAAGATTTTAAAGTTTATCTGATACTTTCTTGTAAACCAACCATACCCCACATTTTATTTCTGAATTTTCTTTATGATGTTGGTGGTTTTGTAGCACTAGGCTGCATAACACCTTTGACGTTCAGTATTCCACATGTTTTTTAAGCAAGACAAAAGTCTTTAAATCTTATCTGGTATTTAACACCAACAGAATTTTTCATCTAATTTTAAAATCTTCCAGATAGGATTTTTAAAAATTTATTTATTTTTTTTAACACGCTGGTGTTTTCAAAATGTCTCTTTCTCATTGACCATTTGAAATTTGGAAGTTCTTTGCCTCAAAATGCGTATACTTACTCTCAAACCTTTCCTTCTCCCTTTCTATCTCTTTTCAGTGATGTTTACGAAACACATAAACTTGAGTCTGAATCAAGAGATATGGATTTTCAGTGAAAGTCAGTGATTTGGCTATTAATCTTATGGTAGATTCTAAACATGTGACCATCCAGACTTCTGAGAAGTATTACCTTTCTGAAACTGCAGAAACTATGGTCAACTGGCCAAACTGCTAAGATTTCTTTGCTAGCTTCTAGGTCATTTGGAACAACAACTAATTATTCTAAGAACTATGCAATCTGAACGGTCAGAGCACCATATGAAGCTCATCTTGATCACTTTTCTTGTCAGTAGACAAACTGTTTAAGGAATTCACCATTTAGCATATATCAGGATAGGAATTTTGTTAAATGCTTTCTGTATGGAACATTGGATTAAGGCAGTTTAGACTCATGAATACATCTTTCTCTCTGTTCCTTGTTTCACACAAAGAATCAAATGTCATTATGATGCAGCTTTGCTGTCTCTGAAATAACTGCTTCAGTAAGGACAAGATGAAATGACAAGTTCACACCCCTCATGTATTTTTTCAAGGCATTTGTGAAGCTTTCATGATTTTCCTTGCAAAATAATAATAATAATAATAATAATAATAATAAATTGGTAAATGCTTTGGACATTTCAAGTTTTACTTTAAGAACTTGAGAATCATGAGTAAGATAGAACATAGGTATTCAGGTAACTAATACAATTTTCAAAGGCAGAAAAATCCCTTTCACTCATTCAAATACAAGGTTCCTTAGCTCTAAACATACAGAAGATAATGTTAGTGACTTAAACTATTCGCAGCCAAAGTGCTAAGATCACACAATGACTTTTGATTGGAACAACCAATATAAAAAAGATGAAAAAGTAGCATTACTGTGGAGCATGTTACATCTGCGTAGGAATTACAATATATTCTGTGTTTCCTAATTTCTAGTGTGTAGATAACCTGTGTACACGTTTACTATTAAGTGTCAGGATTTTCAAAGTATTCATTTTAATAGCTACTAGTTTGACAGGGAGATGTGACAAGCCTATACTTGTTCCTAATCTGTATTCCAATTTAATAAATGTCCAGACCTCTCACCTGACATCCAGAAGAGTCAAATAACAAAATATGTAGTTATTTAATTGGTTTGGAACAGGCCTGCCCACCAACCTTAAAATAATCCCAGCCCCAAAAAGTCAGCAATTTCACTATGAGAAACCTCTGATTAAGTCCCTGTAAATAAATCAGATTTCTCTTTATCTTTTCCAGGGTAATAAGTGAATTGGCTCTTCAAACCAGAGATAATGTAGGAATAAATAATGGACTGCTTCTTGTTCAAAAATGAAACAAAACAAAATGTGATGAGAGAAGTCAGCTTGTCCCAAACTGGAATGGGTAAGATTTCTAAGTGCCTGTGAAAATAGTAAGAAAAGTATTTATTGCCTAGTGCAGCTGAAGGCATTATAATCTTTTGGCCTTTTTGGTCAAAGAGCTTATTTTGCTGAGAGAATAAGCTTTCCCACTCAGATGGTAGAATTAATTTCTTCCTAGTTATTTTACAATTAACTGACACGGAGAGCATTTCAAACAGCCTATTATACTTTGCTAGGATTTTTAATCACTGAAATATCAGAAAATATTAAAGAAAAAAGTAATAAAAACATCACAATGCATTACAAACACACAAATTGTATTAAAACTACAAAATCTTATCCACTTACCCAGGCACTGACACATCTGCCACAAGTGGTGATTTTGAAATCTCCATAGAGATCTTTGATGGCACCAGTTGTAAAGAATCCCTCCACCATCAGCAAAATGCCATATACAAAGAATGCAGCTGCTACACCATATATCACATACTTGAAGATGTCAATCCTGTAGAGGAAGAGCAAAAGTTACTTATCCTCATAACTATTTAAAGCTGACTCTGAAATTTCATGGTGAGATAATTAGATTCAGCATCAAAGTTTCAACTCTGGAGTCAGCTTAAGTGTTGATACACTATACCAGCTGAAGCTGAGTGCAAGAGTGAACTTCTGAATAAAACAACATCAATATAAAAATATTTGGCTCATTTAATTGAAAGAAAGACTAAACATTGAATCGTGCAGGTAAGAGAGCTCAATTTGTCAGAAAAATTTGAAAATTACATCTAATTCATTTCATTTTTCATCTAGATAAAGTGGCAAAGAAAAAACACAGAAAAAGGTTACATATCCCCTGAGAAACACATTGCACCTAACACTGAGGTTTCACTTCATTAGTGATGATGTATTTTGTTATAATCTTCAATAAATCTACATATGCAAGTCGTTCTCAAGTTGCAATATCAGTCACTGTTATCATCTCCTCACTATTATTTTTCTGCTTATTCCTCAATGATCAAAGTCTGACACAAAATAGCAAGATCTTCAGATCACTAACTTCAAACCAGAAAGATATGCTTCTCAAACAAAAGCAACAAAGACAGATCATCCAGAGATTTTCTATAGTGGAGTTTAAAGACATCATTTTATAAACCCAAAAGTCAAGAAATCAAACGATAGTTTGCAGTGTAACATGCAGACCCCATAAGACTGAAGTGATTAAAAAGATTTAATGGGCTGTGCTGTGGTTGGCCTGCCCAGCACTCTCTGCAAACAAATAGTGCTGGCAAGGAGATACTGTCTCCTAAACGTTCTGATGAGAAAGGTTTCTGAAGAGATGCTCAGAAGGATTTCTCTGCCCTAAGTTTCTTTCCAAGCATAGACTTCTCATGATCATTACCTTGAATTATCAAGTGTCACTGTCTTATACTTGGACCTCTCTGAAAAACTAGCCACAGTGAGCTTTCAATTTATTGATGTAATTTGGCAGGTTATGTGACGTTTTAGAAGGTTATGTATAGGTTTCAGGTGTTAGTAAGTTCCAGTCAGTTATTAAGTCCAGGTCAAGATAAAACAGCTCATTAGGGAGTAGGATGAAAAATAAATCAGGGTGCCACGAGGAGCTACAAGATGAATTTTGACACGCACTGAACAGCTATCCACACTGAAAATCTCTCAAGACACCAATATTGATACCTCTATTATTATGAAAAGAAACATTTAACAACATTTCTTTGGGTTCACACTTTTAATTGTCACCCAAAAATGAACTCTCAATTCACAGTTGACAATAACAAAGCTCAACAGCCCATTAACTTATCTTTGAATTTGAATGGTTTTTAAGAAACTCAAAGTCAGATTCAAGTCTACAGCTGATGTTTAAGATGTACCAGTGCGTCAACAGCAGTGCCGATTTTATTTTAAGCTTGCATTATTCTCATAAAAATTCAGCTAAACTTATGACCTAGCTGAGAGGGTGAGGGATGGAATGTGTACTAAATTAATGCAATAAGCTTGTTGCAGCATTTTTGCAGGGCAATGACAGAAGTGTCCTGGGAATGAAAATGAATATACTTTCTCTCTTACATCCAAAAAACAAAGTCTTCTTTGTTTCTTTTCACATCATCCTTTATTTCACAGCCAAGTGAAAAATAATGCAAGTGGAAACTTGTGTGCAAGAGATACATAAACTGTTCGCAATGGTAAAATAAATCTAGCACTGTAGACAATACTAGGTAGTGCAAAGATGACATTTATTTTAATAGATATAATTACTGATTATCCTGTAAAAATACCATCTTCCTAATTTTGTAGTAATTCACTCAGTGTAACACTGTTTTAACAGGAAAATGATCTTTTGAGCCTATCTTGCCATTAGTGATGAAAATAGATGTATTGTATGCAACAGACAACTTTGTGATCATGCCATTGGATACACTGCCCCTCCTACATTATACACCTTATAAAGGACAACCTCTGCCAGTGGCTGAAGTGTGGGAGTTATGCCAGCAGCAGCTCCTCACAGACCTCAGTGTGCTCAGTGCTGTAGAAATTAGAAGCTATCATTGCCCCGAAGGGATTAAGGCTTTTGGAAAGTCCAGAGACTATTTCAGCCCTGGCAACAGCTCTTTAAACCATCTGTGCTGAGCCTCCCACTGAGCTGCTCATATCAAGTAGGGTACCAACATATCTTTTGTTTTTCCCTCAGCCTTATGTGTAACCAAAGGAATAGCTTTCATTACTCTTTTAACAACAAAAATATAAAGAGATAAACACTAATCAAATATATAATATATATTCAAATAATATATATACTAAATAATATATATTCATATAATATATATACTAACCAAATATATATTCCTCATACACTCCCATCACACACTCAGAAAATAGAAAAATTTCTGCTACATGAAATGAAATAGCCAGACTTAATGCAAGGAGATGGATCTTGCATAATGCAGAGAGTAAGAAGTAAAAATAGTGAAACAATGATTTCACTACCTTTTAGGATATCAGAGAGAATTGTATTGCAATATATCTACTAGGTACACTATATGTAAACAAGATATATTACAATCATTGCCCTTTAATCACACATAGTTTAGAAGATATTACTGGCATATTCTACAGCATTTATAAATTTCACATAAACTTTGATCTTCCAATGAAATTATAATAGATAATAAAATATAGGCCTTGTAAAACAGAGATTGACATCCTTTAAAAATAAAATTTAATTCTTCGTGAATGAACTCAGAGAGATCAATTGCCATCTGTGTTTCAGTAAAGTCTCAAATGCTGCAGACAGAGCATCAGAGCAGCCAGGGAGGTAACAGTGAATAGCAGAAGGAGCATTGAACAGGAGCCAATGGGCAAGGGGGACAAGGGCACAGCAGAAGGACAAACAGGGCTCACACTTGTGCAGGCTGGAGTGGGTGGAAAGAGATGCCTAAGCAGCTAAGGAAGCGGAGACAAAATTAAAGAGGTAAAGTCTGTACCTCTGATGGGACTGGAAAGATACACATTAGGTGAATGCTGAGGCTACTCCAAATGAGTGGAACAGTAAGAAATCTCAAATAGTTATTCACTAAATGCAGGAGTCCTAAGGATATTACATAACGATACATTCACAGCCATGGAAGCATTTCTGCTAAAAGACAGCGCGTCAAGATTACAAATTCAAACTGATAGTGCCGTCTTCACAGATTAATGTAGGTTGCTGGATCGAATAAGCTGTTGAATTATGTAAACATAACTTAATAATGAAAAGCATCCTGAAATCAGACATCTTCTTCTTTTTTATTTTTATTTTTTAACAGAATAATCTAAAATGTACTTCACGTATTATCTGTGTCTGGAAGAGGCTGTCGTAGGGTCCAGGCTTGATTTACTCATTACACTGTGTTCTGAAATACTAACAAACACAAACATGTCATCTTTTAATTTGTAATTTAAATCAAGTTGATCTTTTACTTACTTGTCTACTGCTGGGACAATAATCATTCCATATTAAGCATACTTTCTAATTCATTAATCTGAATCTGGATTCTATCCAACCATATGAATGTTAAAATAGCTGTAGTGAAAACACTTTCTTTCACTAGCTGAAGCTGCTGATGGAAGCCATCAGTGCTAACATCTTAACAGGCTGTAGCTGAGTATAGAGTAGACAATCCCAGCAGACAAGTCAGAGGTGAGTGAAAATATTCTTATTGAGTGAGATAAAAGTTGTAGATTCCCTGCTGTGCATTTTTGTGGTGTTTTGCAAATACAAGGATAGAAAAAAATCAACAAGCAATAAGATTAATTGCTGGATGATCATGTCTATTTATAGCACAATTTGGGGAAGAGAGTTTTAATAAAACAGCTATTAATATTCTTTGAAACTCCTTCAGACAACTGGACTGGTAACTATTGTATCCTATTTTGAATGTATTTCAATATTCAAAATTAGCTCCTGTTAAATACTGTGTCTTTAAGTAACAATGCTTTGGGCTTGAAGAACTTGTTGCTTCACTGGAGTTAATCAGTATTGCTCTGTGATAACAACTGTATTTACTACACACAAACAGATAAACCAAAAAGAACTTTTACCTTTGACCTTTTATCTCTTCCAAAAAGGTTGAGTGTAGAAAGGTTACATATTGTAGGAACTCTGAGGCGTTTTAACTGCACTAGTCTAATCACAGCAACCTTTCTACACTCAATGTTGAAGATTGACATTTACCTAGGACATACAAACATATATATTTATATCAAAATTAATTAATATTCTTTTGGAACAATCAGCATATCATCTAGGGATATTTTTATTCAACTCCACTAAAATATGACTGCATTACAGACAATTATTTGCAATTAGTAGCAACAGCAACTACAATAATAGCAACAAACAATTTTTTCTGTGACACGTGATCGTCATGTTTCCCAGAAACCTTTATATCTAAATGTGTTCATTTCATGCTGAACATATCACAGAGGTTTGGGTTGGTCTGATCCACCAGGATACCAGGTATTTACATGGAAAGCAGTTTTTCAGGCTTCATATTTCTACTTCACACTTCTCTTCCTGAATTTATAACATAACTTCTCCAAATGCAGATAATGTATTTGGATACTACAGGTGTTGAATAGCACATAATTGCCATCAGCCCATACCCATATTCTCAGTGTGCAATTAAATTCAGGCAATTATACCTATACCCAAGAGTAAAAATAATAATACTATAAGTAAAAGATAAATTCAAAGATAAATACAACACCATCAAATACAAAGCTAGTTAGATTATCACAGTAAAATTTCTCATTTACAATTATAATTTCTTTATAACTGGCATAGAATAATGAACGTAATCATCTCCATTGGTTAAGATCAGCTTTGCTGTTTTGTTTTTCTCTTCATATTTTGTTTTCTCATCACAAAGAAATAATCAATGCTGAATGCCTTTATGATGATTCTTTCACCCCCTGAGAGACAGGTCCTCAGAGGTTGCTAAGAGACTGAGA